GGGCTCCGGTGTGGCGGTAACCCCTCGGGACTGAGCCCGCCCGTGGTGCCAGGCCAGCGGCTCCCAGTCACTGCTCCTGGCTGTTCAACACCGTAAAAGACGGCGAGAAAATGAACTTTATGTGGAGTCGAGCATCTCTCAGAGCAGTGCCAGGCAGGGGCTGGGCATGGAAACGTCAGCGCGGGTGCCGAGCGGGGCCCTGGGCAGATAAAGGGTGTCTTTGGGAGCTTCCAAAGATTTTTTTTTTTTTTTACACGAGCTATTTCCTACAACGTGCTGCAAGGGCTGTCGCCAGCGCCTGCACTTCAGGGCAAAGAGACGGTTCAATAAATAGGGAGAAAAAAAAAAAGCCTGAAGTGACCAAGATCAGCGTTTCTTTGCCCAAAAGTGTTCAGGCTTGCAGTGCTTGGCACTGTCTCAGTTCAAGGGGAAAGAGAAAAAAAAAAAAAATTTGCCAAGGAGCAGCAGCCTCCCCTCCCTGCCTCGCTCTGGTGCCCGTGCACAAGGCAGCAGCTCCCGCCCAAAGCAAATGCTTGTCACAAGGCCCCGGGCAGGCCCGGGGGGGGGCAAAATTTGGGGTCCGGAGCTGGCCAGGGCTCCAGCCAGGTGCCCCCGCAGCCCTGGGAGGGGCAACTAAAACCCAGGCATGCGCCCAGGGACGGCAGTGATCCCATGGAGGAAAATCTTTGTGAGGCCAAGCTGGGAGCCCCCCAGTCTGTGCCTGTGCGAGCCCCAGCACCTCTGGCCGCATTGCCCTGTGTGGATGGCTCCAGTCTGGAGCGAGGAATTCTGGAGGGAGCGGGGCTGAGCAAATCCCAGGATCCCCCCCTTCCCGGCCCTGCCCCGAGGGGCTGTGGGGAATTAAACCCGAGCCCAGGCAGACCTGGCACAAGTGATGGTGTTTAAGCATGAACACAGCCAGGAAGCTGAGGAGGGTGAGGGGGTGGAGGGACACCCCCCCCCGCCCCACCACCAAAATACAGCGAAATAAAGGCACGGGAGGCGGCCGGCTGGGTCGCTGCATGCATTCTCCTTTATTGTTAGCACAGCACACACCGGCCTCTTGGCACTTACGTTTCTGTATTTGTTTTAAAAAGAAAAGAAAAAAAAAAAAAGAAAACCAAAAAACCAAACTGCACAGGGGGGAGGCACCACGCTGCCCCCAGCTGTGACCCCAAGTCGGTCACTGGGTGGTTTTAGATTTTTTTATTTCCCACCACCCCCACCTTTTATCTTCTGTGAAGTGCGATCGCTTCCGAAACGGACCAATAAATTTAAAAAAAAAAAATAAAAATCCTGTTTTAAACCAACTGCCTGGGGCTTTGGGAATGTGCCGGTCACACCCCTGCTGGCTGCAGGCGGCGGGGGGGGCGCTTTCTGGGAGGGTTTGGTTTTTTATTTTTCTTTCTTTTTTTCTCAGTTTTGTTTGAAAAGGACAGGATTTCTCTCTCTCTCTTTTTTTTTTTTAATACACTACAGTTCAGTGCAATGGGTACAACTACAGTGCAGGTCATGAACTATACAAAAGTCATCCTAACCCTGTACAAGCTTTTTTTTTTTCCTTATGTCGCTCTAGAAACTACACCGTCGCCTCTGTACCTGGGTGTGTACATGACACAACGTGAATATACGCCGAGAATATTTACAGTACGTCGCTTGTCGAATCAGGAACGCTATAACTTAAACATCTACTATTAACATCCATTGAACAAAAATATATATAATATAAATATCTTCCAGTCTATACACAGAGCGGGAAGCGGATGCATCCGCCTGACGATGGATTTTGGTGGGTCCGGGGCTGGGTGGGTTGTGGTGGCGGGCGGCTGCCGGCTGGCTCGGCCGGCGCTTCAGCATCCGGCAAATATTGCCGAGATTAAATCGGGGGGGGGAGAAAAAAAAAAAAAACAAAACCAAAAAAAAAAAGAGGAAAATAAAATAAAAGACACACTTCCCAATTCCGGCAGAGGAGGGCGACGCCCCGCACCCCGCTGCGGGATATTGACCTTTCCAGCCGCTCCCCCCGGGCAGGGAAATCCCCAGCCACGAACTGGGGGCTTGAAATCAATTCAACTGCTTTAAAAAAGAACTCATTTCAGACCACCAAACAGTGGGTGGGTTTGGGTTTAGTCGATTTACGTGATTTCTCTAGGATTAGAAGGTTAAAAACCAAAAAAACCCCCAACATTTCCAGCTTTAAAAACTTCCGCTACGTGATTTCTCGTTAAAATATCCTATCGCGTCGTTAAAAAAAGGGAGCCGCCCTCCCACTGGCGGAGGCTGCGGGGTTGGCTTTGAAATCCTGGACGCGAAACCAGCTAAAAAAAAATAAAATAAATCCCAAAACTGTTTCTAGCAGAAAA